GGGGCCTTGTGCCTGGCCCTTGTGCATATACTGTGAAATTGGCTTCCACAGCCCTAGACCACCATGGCTGAGCTGACATTTCCAGAGGGCTTAGTCGTGGTGGGGCAGGTGATCACCACTGCACTTAATGGCTGGAGTGTTGCAAGGTAGGGCTGTCAATGCAGAAAGTCACTGGCTCTCCCTCCTTTGGTTTCAAGCCTCTGGAGGGGCTCAGCAAGAGGGCCTAGGAAGGGGCTGCTGCCAGATACCTACACTTCGTGAACATGGACAGGCAGGGCTCAGAGCCCTGATCTGGGGTCCTCAGCCCCACCAGCCCATCTCAGGAGTGGCTCTGTCCCTTGCACATGCTACCCTGGGACAGGGACTGGGAGGAGTGGCTGGCTCAGCCATGGCCACAGTGCGGGGACTGCCATCTTCCTGAGACCTTGCCTGTGACTGGCTCTGTCTGGCTGAGGGTGAGTCAGCCCCTGTGGACTTATGTTTTTTGTTTTGGTCAGTTGTGGGGCTTGAACTCTGGGCTTAGACGCTGTCCCTGCGCTCTTCAGTTCAAGGTGAGCACTCTACTGCTTGAGCCACAGCACCACTTCCAGTTTTCTAGTGGTTTATTGGAGATAAGAGTCTCATGGACTTTGCTGCCTGGGCTGGCTTTGAACCTTGATCCACAGATCTCAGCCTCCTGAGTAGCTAGGATTCTAGGTATGAGCCACCAGCGCCCGGCCCCTGTGGACTTACAAATAGATGCCTCCCCATGCCACCCCAGGACCTGAGAGGCCATCCTACACTCAGTGACCCCAACTGGAGTTCCCAGCCTGCCCCTGGGCACCACATCTCCCACACCGGGAGGTGGGCAGCACTTGCAGAGCTTGACTGGGGCTGCTGAGGCTGGAGGGCAGGGGCTGGGCCGGCCAAAAGGGGGGTGCGGGGCTGGTGCTCCTTGCTCACTGACTCTCTGCTGCCGTGTGATGGATGGTTCCGAGCAGGCCCCTGTGCCCCAGGTTGGCCGTGTTGCTCTTCCTGACACACTCATTTAATTTTTAACTCGCAAGGCATTTGCTTATTTATTTTCATTGTTCTTGATAATAATTCTAAGCCATTAGAGGGGAAAATTATATTCAAAAATGCTGTTTCACACTTTATTTGTTTGATGATTTAGAGCGATAGAAAATAGCACATTTGCTGGCTTTTATAGTCTGATAATTATTCACATCCATCAAGCCATTCCAGGGGAATAAACAAAACACCAAGAAAATTACACTATTAATAGCATCCTCTGTGGCGGACGGAAGACTGTGGCCGGCCTAGTAGAGAGGGGAGACCGCCTGTCCGAAGCTGGAGGCTGCTGGTTTCTAATCATAGTTGGTCTCGGTGGCCCTGGGGTTGCAGCCACCCCCTCCTGGAAGCGTAGGGCCTGCAGCTGTGCTCTGGCCAGCTCACACCAGAGCTCCCTTCATCAGCCCCAGGGAATCTGGCTAAGAACTGTGCAGGTGGAAGCCTTATGTCCCCGTGGTGGCTGTGCTGCCAGCCTGGCCACAGGCCTACTCATGTGGCATTCCTGTCCTTTGGCCTTGGTGCCCAAACAAGAAGCTGGTGCCTCTGATGGTCTTGGCTGGAGGTCCAGTGTCCCCCGCCACGTCCTGGCTGCCCTGTGCAGTGTGCCCTCCCCCAGCACACTCACACTTGTTCTCAGCCCGTGTGGGTCATGCTGGCGTGGCCCAGCCTCTGCTCCTGTCCCAAAGCCACATGAGTGGATTTTCAGCTTCGCATTTTTAGGGTGGCAGTAATTCCTCCAGGAAGAAATCTGGAAAGGCAGAGAGCCCAGGCCCAGGATGTGGCTTCCTTCTGGAGCCTTCCGTGAAGTTAGTTCACCCTTGCCTCTCCTGAGAGTGTTCCTGCAGCCTCTTGGACTGTCTGCCTGCTAGCCTGAGTTTGTACCTCCTCCATCCTGTGCATCCCCAGCTCAGAAGGGGCCTCTGGGGTCAGTCTCAGCTTCCCATAGGCTTCATGCTGATACCTCATCTAGGAATGGAAGCCCCTTTGGCTTGCCAGCACACAGGGTCTAGGCCTATCTCCCTCAGCCTCCTAGCACCGCCTCGGCATTGAATACAGAATTACAGAGCTTGTTTCATGCTGCCGGCTAGAGCAGGTCACCAGGTTGCCAGGGAGATACAGAAGCAAATTGTTCATGGGTTCTTGCTTTGGATCTTCCCGAAGTACTTCGCAGCAAACATTCAAAAGTAGAGCGTGCTTGCTTGGGTAACATGCAGTATGGAGATTAGCACGGCCCCGGGCCAGGATGACAGGCAAATTCATGAAGGTGTTCTAGTATTTTTGTTTTAAGCAGAGAGCAGGTGGGATGGGGTCCAAACCGGAGGCTTTTAAAATAACAAATACCTAAGAGAGACGGCTGTGGAAGTGGTTCCAGAGGGGTGACTCAGTCTGGGGCTCCTCTCCTCCAAGCCCAAGTGACCCTCGGGATGGCATCTTCATCCTATCCCCGGCACAGCCCAGGGAGGCTGTCCTTCCTTGCCCTCAAAGAGCTCAGCCTTCAATACATGGAGGCCTGGGCCAGGGGGTGGGCCGAGCTGATGTCATCCTGGGCAGTCTGGGCTTCCGGGCTCTAGGGGTGAGCGGAGGCCAGCTCTGGAGGGACCAGAGGATGGGAGGACAGGGGTGCTGTGCTGGCTGTGTAGGATGTTAGCATTCAGGAAGAGGTCAGGTGTGGGGACATGGGTCACGGCAGCCCCAGCAGGTGGAGCAGGAGACCCCAAGCAGGTCAGGGCAGTGCAGTGCAAGGAGATTGACCAGTGTCAGGGGCCCAGAGCAGACCCTGGAAGAGGTCTGGAGGAAGATCTAGGGATAACCTTCTGTCTGAGAAAGTTGCTGCTGGGTGAGTGGGCTGCCTCGTCCACTCACCGCGGCCACCTGGGCCACGGGCAGGCAGAGCGGCTGATTTGAGCCATGAAATTTGACCTTGTAATGGAGCCCAAGCTTGCAAGCAGCGAGGAGGCAGACTGCTTCCCTGTGTCCGTGACCAATCAAACCCACTTTATTTTACAGCCCCAGAAATTGCTTGCTAATGGCCAGACAGATGCCTGACTGCCTGCAGGCTGAGAGAACAAATCTCTCGAACCCCCCAGTGGGTGCCAGGACTGTCTAGGAGGAGGTGGGGGAGGTGTGTGTTGGGGGAGGGGGATCGAAGCTCAGCTCTGGGGGTCCTGAAGGGTCTGTGAGACACCTGCCTGGGGAGCTGCTGGTCCTGATCTCTGCGGCTGTCCCAGCCAGCTCGAGCCTTCTCTGTCCTGCCCTTGTCTGCCCTCCATGGTTGGCCCTAGCCACCTGGGCTTGGGACCTGCTCAAGGTCTCATGGGAAGGCAGCACCCTGGTTCTTTGATGGCTTCTAGTGTGTTGGGGGGCGGGGGGCTCCTACTGCCCACCCTTGAGGCACATCGCCACAGTGCTGTCCTTACAGAACGGAGCCCTTGCCCTATGCTTTGGCTTGTGAGCTGAGAGTTTGGGCTTGAGTCTTGAGGAAGGGGCTGTTACATCCCTGGCATTGGTGCCTGGGCTACCTAAGGCTGTCACTAGCTGGTTCTGGGTGGCAGGAGGCTCATCGCTCCCGGGCATTGGTGGCAGGTCCAGAAGTCTCTGTGCCTGCCTGTTTCCCATCCGAAAGCCTTCCTAATCTCCCCAGGGGCCACTCTTCAGCACACTGGGCCGGCGGCCTGCAGTCTGTACTTTCCGATAACAGGAGCCACGTTCCAAAGTATTAAACTTTTAACATTCACCAGATTCAATTAATCTTATCTTTACAACTCCCAATTACAGGCGGTAATTAAGTGAAAGCAGCATTGTAGGCTGGGGATCTTGCATTAATCATCGCAGCCCTGGAGCCATAAATTAGTTGCTTCCCATCCTCAGGCGTCTTCCCAGCAGGCCTGGACTGTCTCACTCCCTGCATGGGGGACGCTGTCCCACCAAGGCGCTTCACATGGGGGATTAGCGCCCTGTTCCTTATGTAAATGAGGACAGGCCGAGTGAGAAAGCACCCCCTCTGCTTTGTCCACACAATGGAAAATTCTCCAACATCCACACAGCTGAAGGTGCCCAGGGTGTTTCTGGCAGAGGCCCTGCAAATGTGCTATGCCCAGAAATTAATTATTGAATCCTATTTAGATTAGAGACAACAAGATGTTTCTCTTATCTTCCCACCCCACCCCTCTATTTTATGAGAAAAATAACAAACGTCTCTGTTGGCGGTTGGCATGGGCCTGTACGACTCTGGTCAGGGCGATCTTTTCCTCGCTGGTGTTTTCACCGCTTCGCGTCCTGCCCGAGGGCTGTGGGGAGAGGCTGCCGGGCTGCCTCGTGCCTCTACTTGCTTGACTACGTGTAGAAGGCGAGACATTGGCATCGCTGCTCTAGAACAGACTCGTTATCTGGGAGGGCATCAGGCGCTGGCCCCCACCAATTCCCAGTTGTGAGAGTCCATGTCTCCCCCGGTGGTGATTCCTGGCATCTTCCTTGCCAGGCTGTGGTGGGAAGAGGCCCAGGCTGCCGCGGCGCCAGCTTGTGCCCACAGCTCAGCATCAGAGGCCCATCAGCCCCCCCTGCATCTGTTTGCAAACTTTCATCTTCATCTTCTTGCAGATGACAGAGCCTCGGAATCCTTTTAAGTGGAAAATGTGTAAAAACTTAACTTAGGCAGTGGGTGACCGTGGTGTTTTTCTCCTCCCAAAGCTGCTTTTCCCTGTTGGCTCGAGGCTGGGGATGTGGATGGCACAGCATGAGAGCCAGCTGAGTGGGGAGCTCTTGCTGCTCGCCCCCCAGCCTCGCTCAGGGCTTTGAATTCTGTGTTGCTCCTCTGGCCTCGTTGGGGTTTAGCACCTCCTGGCACTTGTGGCCATTGGCAGCCTTTTGGGTTCACAGTCCTGAGTCCTGGCCGCCCTGCCCTTGTGGTGCATATGCTCCAATGCGTGCTGACCACCTCCCTTCTCTTGCAGGTACGCCATCCCCCCTGAGCATGGCAAACGCCTGGAGCGGCTGGCTATCGGTAGGTGTCTGTGCCCGTGGCAGGTGAGATCGTCTGGGCCTGGGACCAGGGGGGCTGGGTGGGGGCTGGGAAAGTAGCTGCCAGCCACCCAGATGGGCTGCATTTGAATGCTGTCTGGTCGTGGTGATGAGCTCCACACCCTGCCTGCTTTGGTTCCCATATTCCCACCGCCTTTGCCCTGAGTGCCCTGTTGTCAGATCTCAGCATGAAGGCCTGGCCCACTGAGCCTGCTCTGCCTCTCGCTGCGCGTGTCTCTCTATGTCACGTGTCCTCCAGCACGTGGGGAATCTGAGTAAGCAGGCCATCCTCCTTGCTGCCCTGCCCTCAGCACATGTCTTCCCTTGGTGCCCCCACTGTACCACCCACCTGCATCCCCTCCCTCCCTCCAGGGCCTCTTTTCAGGCTAGGTTTGCAGGGAGACCCTGACTACTCTGGTTGAAGATACAAAGCAGGTGGAAGGAGCAGGGTTCCCCACCAGCTCCTGATCACAGTGGAATCTTGGGTTCCAGGAATTACCAAGTGTCTGAAGGATATTGCACAGCCCAGCCTCTGTGGGGCTACCCTGCCATAGACCCTGACCCACATTTAGGGGTGCACAATGCTTGATGCTCCCGGTTCTGGAGCCTGGGAATCCCAGGTCCTGGGCCAGTACATTTGGTGTGAGCCGAGCACCCTCCCATGGCGGGGACCTCAAAGCCACCTCAGCCTCCAGGGTGAGGCGCCACGCTGTCATTTCTGTTGTTTCAGATGGCGTCTCATTGTGCAGTCCAGGCTGGCCTCCTGAGTGCGGCCTGCACGCATGCCTGACTGTGCCACCTACACAAGGATGTAGGTGTCAGCATAAGAATCTAGGGACCTTTAGACCATAGCAAGTCCTGATTGGCTCAAAGGGTCCCCTCACATCCAATCAACAGGCCATCCTTAAGCAGAGGCACTTCCTTCTGGGCTGGCCAGGCAGAGTGACGTTGATGCTATGTGAGGGCAAGAAGAGCACAGGCCAGTGAGGCCCCCTTTCTCCAATTTGGGAAGCTGCCCCTGGCTTGGTGGCTCCTGTGTGCCCAGGAAATACTGACATGCCAGCCACCAAAGCAGCAGGAGGGGGGGAAGCTCCAGCCACGGCCCGGCTCCTGGTCTAGCAGAGATCCCACAGCAGAGGCCTCTCCGTGCCACAGCTTGCAGACAACCCAGCCAACACAGCTGGGCTTTCAAACACACACTGAGGGGCAGATTTCATTCGGAATACAGGTTGCATGTTTTTCCACTGTTTAAAACAAATGGCCACCACCTTAGTGGCTGTAAAACAAAAACTTAAAAGTTTCAAGATGGGCACTGGTGGCTTATACCTGAAATCCTAGCTACTCAGGAGGCTGAGATCTGAGGATCACAGTTTGAAGCCAGCTCAGGTAGGAAAACATCCATGAAACTCCAATTAGCCACCAGAAAACCAGAAATGGAACTGTGGCTCTTAAGTGGTAGAGTGCTACCTTGAGTGAAAAAGCTCAGGGACTGCGCCTAGGCCCTGAGTTCAGGCCCCACGACCAACCCAAGACAAAAACTTACAGTTCTCTAGTTAGAGGTTGGTTCCTCCAAGGGCCTCCAGCCAGGTTCCACGTTCCTCTTTTCCCAGCTCCCTGAGGTCCTGAATCACTTGGCTCCCAGTCCCTTCCTCTTCTGCCCTCTGGAGATCCACAGTGGTCCCTGCTCAGTGTCCTTAGCCTGCTCCTGCCCGCAGAGTCCCTTTTGCCTCATGTAAGACAACGTTCAAATTCTGGGAGCGGGTGGCAGGCAGTGTGGGTGCCATAGTTCGGCTGATCACACCCGTGACCAGCTGGGCTGCAGGAGATGGTGGCAGACAGTGGCAGGACAGCCAGGCCAGGCCTGCCCATCCTGGGGATGATCACGAAGGCTGCCCAGTGGCTGTCGCCAACACCCAGACCACCCAATGCCGGGCCTGTGTTCCTGTCCACATGCCCCTTCTGTTGGAGAAGAAAGTGAAGGCCGTCCCCAGAAGCTGGAGGTTCAGAGTCTCGGAGTCACCATCCACCCCTAGTGCTACAGCACTTTCTAGCTTCTTCATAAGGAAAAGCAGCTCGGTGTGGGCTCCCTGCTATGGGCTTTTAAAAATACCAACTCACTCCTGCCAGGGAGCCGTGCAAAGCTCAGGAATAGCTGGGCCATTGGCCTACAGGCAGGGAAGACAGGAGGGAGGTTGTACAGGACTAGTGGCAGCCGCAGTGGCAGCAGGAGGCCATGCTGCCCTCCTCTGCAGACTCAGGCTTAGGCTCTGCTACCTTTTGGGGAGATGTCCCCCTACTCCTTCACAGAGCTGGGTGGAACGGCTGCAACTAATGTGCAGAATGAATAGCTCTGCTCCAAATGGGCTCGCGGGGAGAGTTGTGGGGCCCACGGAGAGCGCATTAATGTGCTGGCGCATTATCGGTGCTAATCACTTAAAATGTGTGCCTTTATTAGAGCTTTAATGAGAGCCACTTAAACTGTGCATTAAAAAGAGGAACTGCGGCGCGGCCGGCAGCCGGGTGGCAGGCAGTCATAACTCTAATTGAAATGCTTTTAGTGCCAGCGGAAGTTGTGAGTGCAGTGATTCCTGGTACCTTCCACGCAGCCCCACGCGCCTGTCCGGTGTGCACCGCATGGCCTGTGCTCACATGCCTGCACACGGTGCCCTCCAGGTGGTCACCCACCAAGGGTGGGCCTCAAGGCCAGGCCCAGGGTCTGCACAGGCTTCCATGAAGGGACTCCGGAAGACCTGTGACTGCCAGTGAGTCCTAAAAGGGAGGGCGGCCACGAGCACCCCCTCAACCACTCCCTGACACTCCACCCCTTTGCTTACTCTACATGGCAGCCTGGTGCATGCAGGATGATGGGGTACAGACACAGCCCGGTACCTGGTCCTTGCCTACCCCACTGCCCCTGCTGCCCCACGCCTGTGCATTCATGCAGGTGGCCAGTGCTGAGGCCCTGTGTGTCCTCTCTCTGGTTGCAGGCAGAGCAGGTGTTGGAGCAGGGAGCACCCAAGCTGGCAAGGCCCTGTATGCCTCTCGGCCTGGCCCCCACAGCACAGGTTTTGGGGGTTGTGGACAAGCCCATAAGCACAGCCTGGGCTTCAGCAGGCATCTGTGCTCTACCCCAGGGCGGGTTGCCTCTGGGCCTGGGCTGCCCATGTGGAGCCGGCCCTGGCTGCTGGTGCTGCTTAACTGGGCGTCGGGAGCAGGCAGGGCCGATGCCCATGGCTTACACTAGTCCACCTGCAAACCAACCCTGCAGGGGCTCCCAGTGCTAACCCAGACCCCGTGAGGCTCAGCTTCCTCACTGAGCAGCCATGAGAGCATCTGAGCAGGGTGCCAGCAGGGCAGAGGCGCCTTGACTTCCCTAGAACGTTCAAGCTTGGTTCATCATTCTTGCCCCTCTACGTGGGCACTGTTTGCTTGCCACATTCCTGGCTTGGTGGCTCTAGGATGCTGGTGGCCCCTTGTCTTTCCCAGCTCTGTGTGGGTGGCACAGGTCAGTGCCCACGGCTTGAGTGTGCCTCGCCCTTTGCACAGCTGCACCCCAGCACTGGGCCTGTCATGGGCATAGGCCTCTCCTTCCCACGGGGCCAGACTCCAGGCTGCCCTGGGCACTGGGCACGGGGGTTTGGTGGGCACCAGGAGCACCCCCACCTTCCACCCCAACAGTGCTGTGCACCCCTGGTGCTTTGGAGGGCCAGCGTGTTCCTTTTCAAGCATATTACACTCCCGCCTGCCTGCTTTCTCCTGCCAGCATGGCATCCCCACTGCCCTGGCTTGTGGCCCTCACACTGTGTGCTCTCTCCTGCCCCAGGCTTCTTCCCTGGGAGCTCCCAGGGCTGCGATGCCTTCCTGCGCCACAAGATGACCCTCATCTCACCCATCATCCTGAAGAAGTATGGGATCCCCTTCAGCAGGGTGCGTACAGGCTGGGGATGCCCGTGGCGGGATGGGGCCTGGGGATGCCCTCTGTGGGATAGGCTCTGAGCTCTAGCTGGCTGACTGAGAATGCCTAAGAGATAACCTGGAGAAAGTTCTAGAGCTGTTACTGGCTGGGAGCTATGTTACCTGCTGGGGGCTGAGCATATGGAGGGAGGCATGGGTCAGGTGAAGTCTTTACTTGCTTCCCCACGACCTAAACTAGACCAAGGTCAGTGTTGGGCATGGCCGCCCAGGCCCTCCCTCCAGAGGGCCAGGTTGGAAATGGCAGGCATGGAGCATCCTGCTGTGGCCAAGAAGCAAGCAACAGCTTCAAGGCCGGTCCCTGTACCTAAGCTCCTGATGATTGGCATGGCCTGTTCTGAATGGCTCTGGGGGCCCCCTGAGCTTGTGTGATGTGGCTCCAGAACTATCTGCAGGGCTGGGATGGAAGAGGTCCGGTCTCCCGCTGCTCAGGGCCCCCACATCTGGGTAACAGCTCAGCTCTGCAGACACAGCAGCTCTGGGCTGCTTGGGTTGGGTGGCAGGCTCTTTAGTGCCACCATTTCTGCCTGGCCTCCAGCCCTGTGATGGGCCTGCATGGGCCTCACGGTGCTGGCCAGGGTCCCCAGGCTAGACTAGGCTAAGGCATTTGTTTGCCTGTAGCCCTCCTGCCAGGCAGGAGAGACAGTCTCATAGGAGAAGACATTTTTGTGAAGAGCAATTTGTCAGGCCCAGGAGCGAGTTCTGTGATGAGACCCTTCACGCCCCCGCTCCTGTCGCGCGTCGGCATGTGGAAATTGCTTGTGACATTTCAATCGTTCTGCTTGGAGCATCTCTGTGGCAACCGAGGGTAACTTGTTCTTCCTGCCTGGCCAGAGCTGCCGCCGCCGCCGCCACATCAGGCAGAGGAAGATGTGCCCAAGAAAGGCGGCTTGCCAGCTCCTGGGGCTTCTGTCTGAAACCCTCCCTTATAGGAAAAGACGGTCAGATTTGTATCAGGTGACTACAGCCCTCACAGAAATGACAAGGGCTGATCTTGAAGCCTGTTCTTGGAGAAGATCCTCCCACTTAAGTGGCACCTATGGATGAGCCAGCCACGCCCTGCTTCCCCGATACTATGGTCTGCTTGAACTTGAAACACTGAACTCCCTGGCCAGTGTACCCCATGTCTCAAAGGGGCTGCCAACTCCCTGCTGCCTCACTCCTGACCTGAATGACCCAGGCACCTGCATGACCAGACCTCCATGACCCCAGATCCCTGTGGGGTGAAGGCCTGTGTGTGGCCCATGTGGCCCAGCTTCCACGTGGCCCAGCCCCTGGGACAAGGCTGGTGTGCATCCCTCATCTGAATTCCTGGCACCTTCACACGAGCAGCTCCCTGCTCCCAACTATAAATCTCTGTAATGGTATTTACTTCTTCAAGAAAAAGCAGATCAATAGCAGAGCTTTTTAATAATTAAAAGTGTGTACTTGTGTAATCTGCCATTGACTTCCTCATTTGTTCTGTGTGAGCTCACAGAATACACGTGCACAGCTTCTCTGGGCCTGGCGTCAGGGGATGGCGCCCCGGGCTGTCACCCAATGCTGTACGCCGTCCATCATCCCAGACACCTCCTGATTTATTGTTGCTGCTGGGAACGGCCTGACGTGGAGGGCACACGCCAAGTTCTTGCAGGAACCTCATGGTCCTCACCTGTGCGTCCTTCATCCTGGGCTGCATTCCCGGCGCGAGTCAGCTGGGGGGAAAAGGGCCCTGCAGCATGTCTAACCTAGCACCCTGCTGCCATGCCTTGTCCCCAGGTTTCCAGTTTGGGGTGAGAGGGCCCAGCTGTACCCTCAGAAGGCTGAGTGTGCTGGCTGTCCCTGAATGTCACATAATGAGCTCAGTGCTCACCACACACGGCCTGCGGTGACAGGAAGAGCTGCCTGGCTTTGCAGGGCGGGAGGGACAGAGGCCGGAAGTGCAGGCTGTGATGTGGATGCCGGCCCCATGCTGTGGGTGTTCTCCCGTCCTGCCACGGCGGCTTGTCACTTGGACAGGAATTTAAATCTATAACTTAATGCACAGTGACTTCCTGTGATTGGTACAATTAATTACTTGAAAAGAAAAATATCATCGTGTTCTTAGGAGCTGGCGTTTCTCCAGGCAGTGTCAGTTTTGATGGATTTTTGAGCAGTGGCTGGCTCTGCGGAAGTGGGGGGAGCAGTGGGGGGGGCTCTGCTGCCCGCCCTCACCCACCCGCACGTGCCTATGCCTTGAGTACGAAGATGAAACTAGTTCCTGCATCTGCTGAAGGACATGGGTGGGGCCACAGTGAAAAGACAAATGAGCCAAGAATGGGGAAAACATTCAAACAGATGCCAACCAACCCACCAGCCAACCCGCTTACCTGCCTGGTGCTCAGCACTCGGCACCCAAGAAAGGCACAGGCCCAAGCATGGTGCTCTTACAGGGAGAGGCACCGTGCCACCATGGCTGCTTGGAGACGCAGCCTTGTGCCCAGCAGGCCACTCTGGACTATGTAACCCAGACCAGTGGAAACATCCTGACAGCCACACACAGAATTCCAGATTGCCATGCCATACTTCTCCCCTGAACAGAGGAGCCCGCCCAACTACAGAGACCTTCCAGGCCTCAGTTTCCATGTCGGCAGGTTGGGCCCACAGTCCCGTCTCCAAAGGAGATCATTGCAGAGCCCCAGAGCACAGCAAGGGAAATGATCACTGCTGCTTGCCACCAGTGCTAAAGAAGAACCTGTTGGCAGGTGCGAGCGGCTCACACCTGTAATCCTACCTACTCAGGAAGCTGAGATGTGAGGGATGTGGTTCAAAGCCAGCCCAGGCAACAAAGTCCATGAGACTCTTATTTTTAATTAACAACCAAAAAGCTGGAAATGGAACTTTAGATCAAGTGGTACAGGGCTACTCGAGCACAAAGTAGCTCAGGAACGGTGTCCAGGCCCCGAGTTCAAGCCCCAGGACTTGCACCCAAGGAAAAAAAAAATAACACCTGTTGAAGGGCCAAGTGGTGGCCAGTATGGCCATCTGGAATGTCTGCTCCCTGGAAGGAGGGTTCGTCCTGCCCAAGCATGAAGGTGTAACCCCCATACCTCCCTCCTCCTGAGGCTGGTATCCCGCGGCCCCACCTGTCACCCTCAGGCCTGCTTTTTGGCTCGACGTGTGTTTCAGGGATGTCTTTGTGGTCCCACAAAATTGTGGGTAGTAGGATGAGCCCTTTGCCAGGGTGGACGGGGTGCTTCCTCACAGCCACCTCTTGGCAGAGGGCCGTGATGGGGACATGACATGCGTGCACCATTGGAGATGCCTTCCTGTGCAAGGAAGGCCGTGGGCACGTCACCAGCATGTCCCCACACTTCTGCCACAGCCCCTCCAAAGCCGGAGACCCCTTGCTGCACGCATGTCCACAGACCCAGGGTCCCTCCAGAAGCCACCGCCGTGTCTGTGGGAGAGCTGTGCTGTGCTGGGATCTGCCTCTTAGCCTATGTTCTTCTTTTTTTTCCCTCTTCTGTCTCTCTTAATGTGTTTCTTGCTATGCAACCTTGGCTGGTTTGGACCTCTCCAACCTCTTGCCTCAGCCTCCTGAGTGCAGAATCTCAGGAGTGGCACCATGCGGGCTCCCCACATGTTCTGAGTGAGCCAATCAGGGAGCTGCGGGGAGTCTGTGTGGATCCCCACTGATTTGTCAGTCGGTGTTCCCCCTGCCCACCACTGCCGTGCGTGGCGGGGGCCCGTGGAGGCCTTGGCCCTGTCCTGCTGCCTGCCCCTCGCCTGCGTGCCCCTCCTCACCTGCACACCTTTGTTCCCCAGATCACACAGGAGGCTGGGGAGTTCATGATCACGTTTCCCTACGGCTACCACGCTGGCTTCAACCATGGATTCAACTGCGCCGAGTCCACCAACTTTGCCACGCTACGGTGGATTGATTACGGCAAAGTGGCCACTCAGGTAGAGTCCTGTCTCTCCCCCCGCCCCCCCGCCCCATCCCATGCAGGCTCTCTTTCTACCTCCACAGCTGTGGCCCAGGGCTGTCCAGTGCCACTGCGCCAGCCTGGGCCAGGGAGCTCTTCCAGGCTCTGTCTGGGGTTCTAAAGAGCATGTGTCTTGAGCCAGGTACTGGTGGGCTGTAATTCTAGCTACTCAGGAGGCTGAGATCTGAGGATCACGGTTCAAAGCAGCCTGGGCAGGAAAGTCTATGAGACTCTTATCTCCAATAAACCACCAGAAAACTGGAAGTGGCGCTATAGCTGAAGTGGTAGAGCACTAGCCTTGAGCTGAAGAGCTCAAGGAGAGCACCTAGGCCCAGAGTTCAAGCCCCATGACTGAGGGTGTGGTGGGGAGCATGGGGGCTGGGTGGGATGGGCTTATGTGGTCCATGGTGGTCTCTGGTGTCAGCGTGTACTGCTCTCCAGCTGCCCTCAGGGGGGCTATCTGCTCCTGGGGGGTTGGGGTCTGCAGTTCTCCTGCTCTGTCTCACCTGTCCCAAGGACGGCCATAGTTGACAGTTCTGAGGGCTATGCAGCCTGGCCCTGCCCACACAAGTGCCACTTCCAGCCCCTCAGCCTCCTCACTAGATTCCTCTGGGTGCTGGGCACCTCCCACAAGTCTTGAGTGCCTGAGGAACTCAGTCACCGGAGGTCGTGACAGAAAGTTGGGAAGATTGCCCGGCAGGCAGTGCAGTGCTGCCCTTCACCCCGACAGGAGGAGAGGCAGGAAGAGGCTTGAGTTCTTTTTGGTTTTGTTTTTGTGTTGGTACTGAAGTTTGATTGGACCCAGAGATCTGTTATCTCTACCCTGGGTGTACCAGTTACTTTTACTGGCAGCCTGGCTGTGAGGCCACATGATGGGGCTGCTCACGATTTCTGTGGGTATCATGTGGGCGTGTCTGTGAGCACCCACCCACCAGAAGGGGTGGGGACACTGGAGCTGGAAGGAGCCACACGGTGAGCTGTGATGGTGGCCGGCACAGTGTGACCTGGCCCTGGCTCCCAGGGCCTTCTAGCTGCCCCCCCAGGACTGTCCCTGTAGGCACCTGCTGCAGCTGGGCAAGGCCCACGCTGCTTTTTAGGGCAGCATAGGTACGTGGCCTGCTCCCGCCTTCTGCCTTCCTTGCCATCAGTACAGCCACTTGCTTGCTGGCGGCCTCCAGGGTCATAGAGCCATTCAGCCCTACCAGCTCCCAGGATAGAAGAAAAGGGCTCTCCCTGCTGCCCCCAAGCACAGAGAGAGAGAGAAAGAGAGAACTGTACATTAGATCATCCCCAGGGATCTAGCCTTCTCTAGACACTAGATCTCAGGAGAAGAGGCTTTAGAGCTACACTGATCAGTACATGACCACCAGTGGCCTCAAAACATAGGTGGGTTGTTGGGTACCAGAGGCATATATCTATAATTCACAACTCAGGGGGCTGAGATCCAAGGATTGAGGTTGGAAGCCAGCTGGGGCAGATAAATGTGAGGGGTTCTTATCTCCAATTAACCAGCATAGAACTGGAAGTGTAGGTGTTTGCTCAAGTGGTAGTATACCAGTCATGAGCAAAAACAATAAGCAGGAGTGTGATGTCCTGAGTGCAAGTTCCCGTACCAGCCTGAAAACCAACACAAAAATAAAACCATGAGCTGAGAGTGGTGGCATACATCTATCATCCTAGTTATTGAGGAGGCTGAGATCTGAGGATCAGGGTTCAAAGCCAGCCTGTGCAGTAGAGCCCATGAGACTCCTATCTCCAATTAACTACCAAAAAACATAGCACTGTGGTAGAGAGTTAGCTTTGAGAAAAAAAACTCTGGATAGGCTGGGTACTGGTGGCTCATGCCTGTAATCGTAGGTATTCAGGAGGCTGAGATCTGAGGATCATGGTTCAAAGCCAGCCCAGGTAGGAAAGTCCTTGAGACTTTTTTTTTGTTGGTCATGGGGCTTGAACTCTGGGCCTGAGCTCTGTCCCTCAGCTCTTCAGCTCAAGGCTAGTTTTCTACCACTTGAGCTACAGCGCCATTTCTGGTTTTCTGGTGATTTATTGGAGATAAGAGTTTCACAGACTTTCTTGCCAAGGTTGGCTTTGATTGGCGATCCTCAGATCTCAGCCTCCTGAATAGCTAGGATTACAGGCGTGAGCCACTGCGCCCGCCTGGCTTCCTTGAGACTCTTATCGCCAATGAACCACCAGAAAACCAGAAGTGGCGCTGTGACTCAAGTGATAGAGCAATGTCCTTGAGCTGAAGAGCCGAGGGACAGCGCCCAGGCCTTGAGTTCAAGCCCCATGACTGACAAAAAACAAAAAAGAAAAAAGGAAAAAAAACACCTCAGGATAGCACCCAGGCCCTGAGTTCAAGACCTAGGGCCTGCACAAAATCAATCAAACCACGGTGAATGGACCAGAGGCATGCTTTGCGTGGAGCCAGGGCAGGGTCTGCTGAACAGGGACTAGTTCCAGCATGCTTCATCATGCCGCTCACACAGACTGCTTTTTGGATATATTGGGTTAAGCAAAACATATTAGTAAGATGAGTTTGACATGTTCATTTGTAATGTAGTTCAGACTAAAGCTAGTGCTAGGCTGGCTTGTTCTTGTCTGGGGCAACTGGTCTGAATGACTTAGGCGTACTGTTTTTCTCATTTCTGGCTTTGCTGTGCCCCCCTGTGCGCGCACTTGTGGGACAGGCCACCAGAGAGGGGCCTCAGGCCGGGCCTGGGCACAGAGGATCCAAGAGTGCGGATGCCAAAGAGAAATGGGCCATGTGGCAGAGAAGGCATTGCACCCAGAAAAGTGTGGCGACTTCCTTTTGATCGTGGGGCCGATGTGGCTGTGTGAGGAGCCAGTCTTGGTGGTGCCTTGGCTGCAGCCAGCCCTGCAGCAGATTGAGCTGTGAGCAGCTTATCCAGGAGGTGCCAGGCCTGTGGGACTGCCTAGATATTAAAAGCAATTTTGGGTTCAGCCATGTGTTCACAAACAAGTGACATTCGGGAGGCACAGCCGTTGACTGGGCTCCACGCTCCCATTGTCAGGCGGCGTAGCGTGAAATTACTGAACAAGCGACGCGCGCTCAGAGCCAGCATGGGGTTCGCAGCTAGACGGCCAATGCCCAGCTCCCCTTCGGGCCCCCTTGGCCATCCCAGCCCCTATCTGGGCACTCCCGATGTGATCGGGTGCACTAGGGAGAGGAGATGCCCCTATGGGCCTGGAATTTGGGTTCCATGGTGGGGACTTGGCAGACAGACTGCTACGAGTGGGCTGCTGCTCTCCAGCACTGTGGCTAGAGGCCAGAGTAGGAGGCTGGCCAGAAGAGGTCATGGGCTGAGGGTTCTCCGAGGGAAGGGAAGGCCTCCACCCTCCCCTCTAGGCCTGGGCCCAGTGTGTGCTTCAGGGCCTACAGCTGCAGTAGGTTGGAGGGAACCCAGGGAGAATGTCTACTCCATATCCTGAATTCTAGGGCTTTCTTCTGTGTTGCTTTGCTCCCCTTCGTCTCTGTCCCCATCCCTACCTCTCCTGGGCCTAGCAGCGACAGTGGCCTCACCCCCTGGCGCAGCCACCCTCTGCAGTTCAGGCCTCACCAGGACCCCATCTCCATCCAATCTGCAGTTTTCAGTTTTAAAAGGTCAGTGGGAGCTGGGCACCGGTGGCTCCCACCTGTAATCCTAGCTACTCAGGAGCTGAGATCTGAAGATTGTGATTCAAAGCCAGCCTAGACAGGAAAGTCTCTGAGACTTACATCTCTAATTAAACAGCCAAAAGCTGGAAGTGGAGCTTTGGCTCAAGTGTTAGAGCACTAGTCTTGAACACAAAAGCTCAAGGACAGTGCCTAGGCTGTGAGTTCCAGTCCTAGGACCAGCAAAACAAAAAAGGTAGTGAGGGGAAGGGAAATCCAAAAAGGTGTACAGGGCCTGTGCACAGCAACACTGTCCACCGTGGGGTCAGTTCCTGTAGTGCCAGGATTCAGTAGTTTCCCGACACTGTATGGCATGCGCATCCATCAGCCTTGGTCTTCAGGGGCCTGGATGTCAGCCAGCCTCCCTCCTTGCTAGCCCCAGCTCCATCTTCCCCTAGGCCTGGCTGGGGCTACCCCAGCACAAGAGGTGACCCCTCACTCCTCAGGGCACACCTCAAGCCCATCTTACTACTTTTGGAGGTTCTTGACCTGGTAGAGATATGGGGGCTGCAGGGCTGGGCCAGACACGGGGCATGCTGCCTCTGCTTGCTAGGGTTCCGCTGGGGTCCTCCTGGCCACAAAAGCCCAAAGACCCCATTTCCTTGAGTCAGCCACCAGCCAGGACCCCTGGCAAGGCTCAATGTGGGCTACACGGGCTCAGCATCAGACCTGGCCTGTGCCGCTCTCCGTGGGCAGGAGCGGAGCGTGCCCTGAGCCAGTCAGCAGCAGCACTGACTCCTGCGCACATGCCCCTCTCTCAGCATCCGCCACGCCCTCAGGGGGACCAGTGCCTACACCCTGTTCCAGTTGGCATGCCTTGTGCCTGTGGGGCACCAGCAGACGTACCCACTCCGAATGGAAGTGGAAGGGGTGATGTGAGGGACAGGACACAGCAGGTGCAGGCTAGGCCTCAATCCCTAGCCAGAACAACAGGGAATTGGGTACTACCCATGCAGAGAGCCAGAATCAGGCCCATGCCAGGGCCTAGAGCATGTGTGGGCCAACACCACCACCCCATTCCTTCCTCAACTGAGTGGGGAAGCGACTTTACCCAGGGCACAGCTGTGGGGACCAGGCCCAGCCTGCCCAAGCTCTCCTTGCTTCCCTCCCTCCCCTCCCAGAGGCCAGACTGGGGCCTGGACACAGGAAAGCACAGTCGGCTCAGCTTCCTGGCAGGGGCGGCACTCGTAGGCTGTGCTGGGGCTAGCTCTGTGCCAGGATTGCCAGTGGGGAGTTGGAGGGAAGGGGGCAAACCAGCCCTTCTCCGTTGAACTTGAGGGGGGCTATGTCTCAGATTAACT